TAAAAGAGGTTGACAGGTATGTTCAACATATTCTGCATATTCTTTGGAACTAAGAACAAGGAGAATGTGTTTTAGTATAATTGAAGGTAAATATAATTCTTAACATTGTCTGTTTTTTTTTTTAATTAAATATACTGAGACAAGAAAATGCTATATTCTAACAAGTTACTAAATAATAGGTTAGAATCCTATTTACACTTTATCCATGTTTAAGACTAGCAAATATTAAGATATATAGAAATGCAATTTAATTTTACAAAATTTCAAGATGCACACTATTTACTCTTGGAATTGAGTTTTTTGGATATGCGCAGCGGCTGGCATTTGGAATCTAACATGTTAAGGTAACTCTTTCAAGACTATATTATCTTGCACAAGATGGTATTAGCTGTTAGCATTATTATTTTATCTGTATTTTTATACTTGTATCCCAGTATGTGAAATCTTGTTGTAGAATAGGACCTGGTCCCATTGTGGATTTGGTGAAATTTCAATTCCTGAGCATGAGTCTGGTTTATCAATTATGCCTGATAAAGTTAATCATAATAACAATGGTGGTAGCTCAACTTATGTGAAATAATACTGCAACTACAATCTCTGGCTCAAATAGCCATTTCGAAGTTTGTTAAATTTATTAAAGTTTTTAACATTGTATCTGTAAAATTTTAACTGTATTTCAGTAAATCTTATTCTATTTAGAATTAATTATCCAGGTTCAGATTTGCATTGCACAATTTCTAATTCATTTATTCACTTGGGTAAATTTTTATTAATTGAAGTATTCAAAAAAGCAATTTAATTTATTATATTAGAGTAAGCAGTTTAAATTAATAAAGAGTATCTACGATTATAAGATTGGCATCTGTAATATTTTATTTAATAATAAAAATTGTTTCGAGTTTATACATTGAATTATATAAAAATAATTAGCAAACCTTTTAATTTTTGTATTTAATCATTATGCACAATAGTAATGCATGATCATTATATGTTGTCTTGTATTAATCGTTATGTGTGATCTTATATTTAATATTCATGCGTAATGATTATGTGTAATCTTGTATTTAATCTTCATGCACGATCATCATACGTGATCTTGTCTTTAATCTTTATGCACAATCGTCATTTATTTAATCTTCATACGCATTTTTATGCATATCTTCCATTTAATCTTTATGCGTGGTTGTTTGTGTGATCATACTGCATTATTTAGCAAATCATATCGTTATGTGCAATCGTTTTGCACAACCATTATGCATGATCATTTGCAAAAAATTATTAATATAGTGGTAATAAGATTATAATATAAAATATAAAAAGTATACTTACTTGAAAATATTACAATATTTTCATTATAATAAATATCGCTTACATAATAATTTCTTTATTAGCGAATTGTTTCCTTTT